TAGATAAAGAGGTTTCATTTTTGGCTATTACTGTGATTGAGATGATGAATTGACAATAAGGAGTATACATTTGATAATACATATTTTCTTTCTCACCTATTTTTCCCCACGTGCTGACATAACTGAAGTGAGAGAGAATTGACAAAGAGCATGCATTCAGTTACTTTTCAGGCCATGCTAATGGTCAGGTATCTTTAGCCCGTGAAGTGGTGCTGGGTGGTCTCTGTGTTAGCTTATTTAACCAGTGTCTTCATACCTCCTCCTGTACGGCACCGTGGGTGAAAGACGGTGCTTTCTGTTTCCATGGAGCACATGTCTGCTCTGTCTTGTGGGGTTGCTGTGAGGAGACACTGGCTCGATGACAAGGAGTTTTGTTTAGTTTTTGATGTGTACAACATTCTCCATATTGAGGAAACTAATAATGAAAAGGCTTACTCTTTATTTTCAAGGAACTTACAATCTCATGGGAAAGTCAAACAGATGGAAACAAATATAATTTAATCGTGAGAAAATACATTGGTAGAAACCAGAGTCTCAGTTTACTTGAGAAAATTTGGATAGCTTTACAAAGGAGAAGATAGTGTTTAGATGAGAACAAGAATTTTAAAGATTTGTGTATTTAGAGCAAGCTTCTGTACTTCTCTCATTCATTAAAATTGACATATAATAATCACCATAAAATGTCCCTTTTAAAGATACATAATTCAATGAGTTTTATATAATTCCTGAACATTTCCATTACCCTAAAAAGCAAGTCCACACTTACAGTCATTTCCAATTCTCCCTCCTGACACCCGACGCCAGCACTCACTATTCTAACTTCTGCCTCCATGGGTGTACCTATCCTAGACATTTTGTAGAAAAGGAACACTATAATATGTGAGCTTTGCAGGTCCAATTTCTTTAATTAACAGGTTTTTTATTTTTTTCTTACCCAATAATATTCATTTTATAATATTCAATAATATTCATATATATATATCACATTAGTTGATGGATATTAGTTTCTCCCATTTTGGGCCACTATGAGTAAATCTGCTATGAGCAAGTTTTTGTGTAGGCATATATTTTCATTTCTCATGAGTATCCCTAAAAGTGGAAATGATGCAAATGTCTAGAAAAGAATGAAGGCAACATATGTACAAATATGCCTGATTGTGATAAGAGTTGTGTGAGCCCCCAATAAAATGATTTTAAAAAAATGGAATTGATGGATCATATCATAACTATGTTTAATATTTGAAGACATGCCAAGCCATTTTATAAAGTGGTTAGTGACACTGTGTCATATTGTCATTTTCCCACCAATGTATATGAGGGTTCCGATTTCTCCACATCCATGTCCACATTTGTTATTGTCTTCAATTACCAATTCCTTACTGCCATAGAGTCATTTCTGACACATTGTGACCTTATAGGACATGGTACAACTACCCCTGTGAATTTCTGAGACTAACTTTAAAAAAAAAA